AAACTTGTATTCCATTTTGAGCCGCGTACCAATAGAGGGCGCCAAGGTATTGATTGTACCAATCCTTAACACCTTCAGAGGTCGAAGATCCTTGTGGCGACATATACTTATTGGCTTCAATTTCTTAGTTACGTACAACTAAAATGAATTACGTTCATGTCTATACACATCCAAATTTTACTAGATTTAAATAAAGAGCGTTTGTTTTTAAGAATTTGGGAACCTTCACTCAAAATAAGTTGGGTGACACGTCTCCGGAGTCTCAGGCATAGCGCTTGATCACGAGGATAGCAAACGATTACTGTAGTTGTATCTGCAGGTTAAGAGCCGATACTGCCTCAGCCCGAATTAAAATTTTGCCCGTACTGGACTGGTTCTATTGCGCGGGTCAAGCGGCAAGCACTGGCTTTATTTTAAAATTTATTTTTTTACAAACGACATTGAAGCCATTTGAAAAATGTGTATTGTATACTATACGTGTTCTATTTAGTTTAGTTGATATAAAACAAATTATTTGTATACGTAAAATACTTAGAATAATAACGCATAGAAACCTAGCCCGCACACGCTAAGTGAGGCAAATTGAAGCGCTCCCAAAGGGCCTACACTAGCGAGCGGGCCTTCAGTGCTTAAGGTCAACTTGCACCGCGAACAGCTCCAGAATTTTAGCTAAAAATGACGAAATGTGCGGTAAATGAGTGTAAAAATACATCAGACAAACATAAAATAGATACTAACATCACATTCCACAAGGAAGTAACGCGTTTCGACTTGTATTTTTATATAAATATTCACTAAAACCGAAAATTAACCTACTACTAAAACTAGCCTACATGAATTTGATTTTTGCCTCACTTGTGACAGTTCGTTTGATATGAAACTATCATTCTATGCGTTATTATTCTAAGGTAAAATACCTAATGAATACAGCGGTTTTCTTGTAAAACTTCGAGGTAAGTTTGTTTTTGCTATCGCGAAAATTTTTGAGAATCGTGTTTTCACATGGTATGCTAATCATAGTATACCCTCAATTTTACTATATGTTTTTGCCAAAGTGATTGATTGATTCAACACTTGACTGTTATGCGCAATCAACCAAAGCCATTTGAGGTTTTTATATTGACTTTACATAAGTTGATTATTTTTAGTAACGGTATGTAAGTAGCTACTGCTAAAGTTCAAGTTAAGTGTCAACGTTGAAAATTAAGACAAAGGTAAATAAATAACAAAATAAACAATGCTTTATTGTTTTTTTAAACAACTGAAATCTACAACATGGCGGCGGCGATTAGTGCGCCTTATTGGTTCTGTAAGAGGAACAATATGTCACAAACGTAAGTAGTAAGGCTATGAATGTAAAAAAAACCTGTTTTTGTAGCAGGAATATTTTTTTCTCTCCCAGTGCTGGTAGTGTAACTTGGTTATGAACGGTTAACAAGGGGATTTTTCGCTCTGATTTGAAGCATGTGAGGTAGACGCGGAGAAATTCAACGCACGATATTTAAACGTTTCCTTTTAGAGTTAAAACATACTCTGTTACTGTAAGCTCATACTTCCTTATTACGGAACATGGGAGAGAAAACTTCATTAAAATATCTCTTACTTTTCCCTAAATGAACGCTGTAAAAAATTAAAACTTTGTGGCAATTTGTGATATTTGTATCATTAAGTGATGTTCATACAGTCGTGTTTCGGGCATAGTTCACTATCTTATCTATCTATCTTCTGTTTATTATGTTTTTAATTTTTTTTTTATTATGTTGTCGGGTATCTTCTGTTTTCATTATCAATTAAAAAACAGTTGAAATCGTATTTTTTAATGTCGTAAAACCGATTTTCCGTGTTGTCTCGTGCGGATGACATAAGATCTTGAGTTTCCTGTGCCTGCCTGCTTTACGGTTGCAATGGATATAGCTACAGAACAACAAATATAATAGAAACGCTAGCATGTGTGACAACAGCATGCGGAGTTCCGTATACCTGAACTCAGTCCGAATTTTTAGCTTATACGCTATGGTCGCATCAATTACCTCGCGCAAAACCTCGAACATCGTGGAATAATGCCTTCTTTTGCTACTTTGGAGTACAGAAACGATAGTCGCACATACAATATTATCCATGGTGGGGTTCATATCATCGTTAAGTCTTATTTTGTTTAACTTAAAAAATTTTCTGTTTATCGTAATACATTTTTTCTTATAACATACGAAATAAACCTTACACCGCTGAATATGGCCGAGTTTTTTTTGGAGAATCGTTAGGCGTTAATCGTTCGTCGTTGTTCAGCAATTACCGTCAGATGGGAGCACATTAATTGAAATTTCAATATAAAAACGTAAATTGCAATAACAGGTTCCCTTTCAATGATATGCCAACAAGGTAAACTTTAAATTATATTAACATTCCAGAATTTGTTACATTTAAAAAAAATAGAAACTACGATCAATCATTATCAAGATTTAGTAGTGTTTAACATTATGATAGTGTGGGTTTTGGCGACATTGATTTTGATAGTAATCGTTGCCTAAGGCCCTTCCATTGTTTTTTTTTTCGTGGCTTTGCTAGTAGGTTTTGCGTATAGACAGGCACAATTGCGAGTAAAATGAAAACAACACTTACCTGGGGACATTTAGAAATAGTACAACTCGCCCATGTTTATGAGGTACTTTACAGAAGAGTTAATTTTAAATAAGAATACCTGTAACAATATTTAAGGTACACTATTAATAGAATCAACTTTACTATATAAAGTAATAAAATTAGTAATTTGGGTGGCGGTACATGGAACGTTTAGTTTAGTAATATCTCGAAGGTCAGTGACAGATAACTGTATGTTCTTTGCATATATAAATAAATGAAAAATGTCACAATACCTTCACGCATTATTAATATTGTTATCGTAATTTTATTAGGGGTTTAAATATGGAATTGCCGATTTATCGTACTGGCCACTTTGAATTAAAATTAAACCTGTATGATGTTATTCAGAATGAAACTTTTTTACACGAAAACTAAAAGATTATTATTTAAAAAAAACATGATATCTTTGATTGCTCGACTTTCGTATGTTTTTACATTTAGCTTGTAACGTGAAGATGGATACAGCGAAAATCAGAATAATTTTCGAGTACGAGTTCCCACATGGGGTTAACGCAGCAGAAACTGCTCGTAATGTCAGTGCTGTGTTGGCAGAGGATACTGCTAACGAACGCACCGTGTGCACAGCTTTTTTGCTATGTACTTTTGTTTTGTAGGTGTTACTTTTAGACCACACTTTTATATATATATTTATCCATGATGCATTTAACTTTATACACATTACCCATCAGAAGGAAAGAATAAAAGCTAATTGTATAATTTGACACTTTTAGGGTCGTATTCTAGAACTCTACTCAATGCTCAAGTCAGGATTTGAGCAGACTTGAGTATGATTTCAAGCACTGGAAATACGACTCTAATGGCAAGGACTTGAGTATGATTTTCAGTGCTCACTGCAATACTCAAGTCCTGAGTAGAGTTCTGGAATACGACCCATAAACGCCATGGAAGTGTCGGGAGCGACGGATGACTCGCTAAAAGATCGAACATATGACCCGAACACAATATGCGTGGGTCATGATCGACCCGGGTTATCAAAAATGATCGTCAGACAAAGGTCTAATACAAAGCGGTAGGATAGAGTAAATTCTAAATTAGAAAAACAGAATTGTAGATAACGTTTTCGTCCTTCGGGACAGGCTAAGGTGTTTAATTTCATACTGCCATATCATTATCTTAGATTGTAATTTTTCTTCAATAGTCTAATTTTCTGACAATTTTTCCTCGGAAAATCGTTATATCTTTACGGTGGCCATTTTGAAAAGCTTAGAAAAATATAAAACAAAACAATATTTTTTTCTATTTAATTTAGCTTAAATTCGGAAAGAAATCACGTTTGAATCCTTGGTCTATAAACTCACAAATCAGTATTTCAAATTACGTTTAGGCAATTATATGAAAGAAGTAAACAATAATTTGCCGATATATGAAATATTTTGTAGTAAATAAATACAAAAGCTGCACAAACGCATAAATAAATCGAAGCGGGTGGAACTTACATGAGTGGCAGTTTCACTATCACTTTTGACACCGTTAGTCGATTTGTCGTCACTATATATTGTAATGTTCATTAAATAATAATGTAGTTCTTTCATTTTCAGCCAATATTTGTAAATGATTCATACACAAATAAGTTAATTTCAACAAATCTTCGCGTAGTCAGGGGCTAAACAATGGAGTAGTAGAGGGGGCACAAATTAGAAAGATATGTAGGGGGGCGGTAGGTAAGAAAAATCGATTTGACAATTTTGACATTGACAGTTCATAACGTTAATTGCCAGAAAATAAGAAAAGATTTCCATGTTTTTCTGAAAAAGAAGGTTTTTTTGCTGAAAGCTAAGGTTGAGTGTACAATTCTATTGAAACAATCAAGTTTAGTTATGGTTTTTATTGTAATTAATGGCCCACACAATACACTCAAACCTTCAGGATCTTTTAACAGTGTGAAAAAGTTTGGATAAGTTATTTTTGTAGCAACATTGTATATAAGTATGTTCTACTTCCTCATTGTGTGAGAATTATTAATGAACTACTTATTTCCTTAAATATCAAACATTTCAAAGTTAAAAAACCATATAGTTAACTCACCAAAATATCGACAAAATAATATCAAAATTTATCTTTGTTCATGCGGATTAAGAATAAACTTACTTTATTTAAAGATTCAAAATGTAAGCTGTCAAGGAAGAAGAACGTAAACGTGTAAACGAAAACTGACTTACATTCTTTTCTGTTGCGAATTTTTGCGTGAAGATTTAGGAACGTGTTTTTACGAAGTTTTTCGTTTGTTACAATATATTTGTATTTTTTACGGAATCTCGCGTGCTAAAATACGTCAAATTGACTATAGATCGACGGTGAAACTTGTATAGATTGTATTAACCGGGTTTTGTTCATTGTAGTGGGTGTGTTTTTGTTAAAATGGTCGTTGTTTCCTCCACCTTTAACGCGCCGGTGGAAGGAGTCCTTCTACAGAGTCCCTCAACAAAACTCCTCGTAAATGATCAAGAATTGGGGACTGCTACTCTCTATATCACAGAACAGTGAGTATTTTAACGCCTTCATTAGAAGAAAATCAATTTTAATAAATGTACAATTTCGTATGTTAAAAAGTGCGTGGTCAAAAAGCAAACATTTTTCTAACAAGGAAAACAGTTTTTCATTTACACAAACAATGATATTGCAGAAAATTTATTTACAATGATTTTCCCGCAGTACATTAATACTTATTCATATATTGTTAAAATTTTGCTTTACGTGTTTTTTCGTAGGTGACCTATATTTATTTTGTTAGTGGAAGGAAATAAGTTTGTTTTCTAATTCGGTAACATGTGCAGGGGTACCAATTTAACAAACCAACCAAAAATTTGAAAACATTATTATTATTACTATGGGTTTTTGAAGGCTTTTGCAACCTTATCACATTTATTTTTCTTGTTTAATAAAATCATGCCCGAAACATGTTAAAATTATAGTAGTTTTAGGATATATCACAGGCACATTTGACTTTTCAACTTATTTCTCAGGCTGTTGGGAGCAGTATTTGTGCCTCAGGTCTTTGCGATTTAAAGGTCTGACAGTTACTGCAAATGTTATGGACAGACATATGGCACGTCTTGTTAATCTCGTCATTGGTCTCATAAAAAAAGTCGTGTTTTATCAATTTGATACCTACCTACGAATTAAAGTAATTTTGATTTTCAGTTAAATTTTATCCAGCCTGTATATTAAAGAGTAAACCTGTATGTGAAAGGCCAAGCAGGGTAAATTGCTAACAAGGTATCATTATATTTCAGGATCCAAAGCTCCAAACACCTCCAACAAAAGCCAATAAAATCCAATAAATTTCGATTCTAATTTCATTAAGTCTCATTGAATGGATTTTAGTGATAGTAATATTTATGAATATGTTCAAATAATACTGGACATTTGCGTTAGAATTTATGGCATGAGAACTGGAAACATTAGAGTTTATATACTAAACACATGTGAAAATGTTGATATATTTATTTTAATATTATACTGGATGCACAATTTCTTCGGGACATAGAAGTTATTAAGATAATAATAATGCACACACAAAACATGCACACACAACCACAAATTACACCCAAACTCACGAGAGAAATAAATGTAGGGCATACAAATATTTCTCCTGATCCGGGAATCGAACCTGGGACCTCTGCATGTAACTGTTCGGCCACAGAGGCAGTTGATTTGACTTGATTGATTTGTCCTATTATGTTTAGATCTGTGCAGTTGAAACATATTTTGGAGGAGGATTTAGCGGTTGCTGTACACATTAAATAAATTATTCATAGAAATGTACAAACAGTACTGTTGCACATGAAGAATAACAAGTGAAAATGTGACTTGTCGGTCTTTGTTATGATGCCCCTTATTTATTATTTTGAATTTCAAGTTAAGTGTTAAACATGGTGTTGAACTAGGGAATTTTCTGTTTTATGTACTGATACCTCCATTGGACACTGCCCTCACTTAGGTTTTGCACTTGTTTAGTTTTATTTTGTGTTTTGTTTCTTTATTTTTTTCCTAAAATTTGGGGACCATAATATTAGTAAATAAATATAGTTGTTTACAAAAATAACATCACAATCATTGGAGGTATCGGTATGAGCATAGAGCAACATGGTTTATACAATACCATTTTCCTGTTAATTTAACTGTTTGCATATTTTTCAGAAACGTAGTGTGGGGTGGCGGCGTAAGCCCTTCTGGGACAGCTGCCCCCTCCATCACCCTGCTGTACCCCACCATTTCTCTTCATGCTGTGCAGAGGGAACCCACTGCTGCCCTTTACATGGTGCTCAATTATGAGCTAAGGTAAGAAAGGCCTCATCTTATACATATTTTATGCATAGGCCTCTACGAATGTGCCATTTCGCCCGGTGCTCAGCTTGTCGCATCCATTTGCTGTCAGCAGTCTTTAGCAGATTGTCACTCCATCTGGCCAGAGGGCGTACTGCACTACATTTGTCAAGCTGTGGTCTCCACTCAAGAATTCGTTTCCCCCATTGGTTATCAGTTCATTGTCAGTTGAAGCCAACCCAGTCACTTCAGATTGTTTATTCTATCAGTTATCTCTACGATCTTTTTTCTCTGTCAGACAGCGTGTTAAGGTACACGCCTGTCCGTAACAGTTGCAGTCAGAGTTTTAAATCGCAAAGATGTGAAGGGCACTGCCACTGCGTCCGTCACTCTGAGACATAAGTTGACAGGTCCCATGTGCCTGTAATTCCACCAGTACCCTTACCCTTCAAAACCAGAATGCAGTAATACTAACATTACCGCTTGGCGGCAGTACCTTCCCTGGACGAACCCTTTCACAAATAGCTCTAATGCTACTAATATAACTGTTTTAATAAATGGTGGACTAGTCGTATCTTGAGTGGCCACGTCTCGACGTCGTATCTTGAGTGGCCACGTCTCGACGTCGTATCTTGAGTGGCCACGTCTCGACGTCGTAT